AAGAAAGCTTGGGACAAGTCGAGGCCGCCGGGGCCGAGGGATGAAGAGGATGTGCTCTTATGCATGGCCATGGTGTGTGTGAGCGTGTGTTTGTGTGTTGTGTTGTGTATATTGGTGTATTGAAGGGAGAGGGAGTAAGTTTTTATAGGTTACACATGTGAATGGAAGAGAGGGGGTGAAGTTGATTTTTATTGTTATTTTTCAATGGTCAACGTTATTCCAAGACTTGGACAAAGTTTGATATTCTAGGAGGAAGAGTTTTTGGAAAAAATAAATCAAAATTTGGCTAAAAAGTTTTTAATAATTTAGAGATGAAATTATATATGTGTAAATCTTTTATTTTAATCAAATCACCACTTAGGTAAAGTATTTATTGATATTTATTAGAAAAATTTTAACTTAAGAGGAAGATATGTGACAAAACCTACAAATGAAATTTAACTGGTCTACAGGATTGCGAGTTAAGGAATTAAATCCAAAGAGTTCTTATATTCATCGTCATGTGCCTTGTACTATTTTAATAGTAATTATCATCATTATTATTAATAATTTTTTAAAATTTATTAATTTTTCAATTGGTCAAGTTAGAATTTCAACCACACATTTTATGGTATCCATACTTTTATTAATTTTTTAATTTCAAATTGCATCAACTTTTATCGATGTTTACTAAATTTTTTTTATCAAAATATTCACCAAACAACCCTTAAATTTATTTGAAATTTTTGACATTTTATTCTAGTAGATTTGATTTTACAAATTCCAACATATTTTCTTGATTTGCAAAAGATTCAAAAGTCATACACGTGGTGTGCCGGCCAAGTCACGTTGGGAACATTCCGTAGTTCGAAAATTTCTAGTACGTCACATGGGGAACTTTCTTTGTTTTGGAAAAATCTAGGACGTTATTTTGACTCAACATTTGTTTCTCTTTTGATGAGGACACTTCTTCTAGATTTTCTTTTTCTTCTCTCTTTTAGCAAAATAGAAAAATTGGATTTCTAATTGCTTGTGTAAAATGGTGACTTAGAGGTTAAGTTTTAATAAGAGTAAATTAGTTAGCAAAACAGGGTGCTCACTGTTGAGTATCTGTTGGCCTAAAAGTAAAGGAAAAGTCTTTTGATCTACGTGACATTAATGTCTAATAAATAGATAGTCTACTTCAAATTTCATCTCTATTGTATATCCTATTGGAAAGAGAAAAAATAATTAACGGGAGAGAGAAAAATAAGAAAGAGATAGCAGAGAGAGAGAGAAATATAAATTACATGTGGTTACTCATTTCGTCTAGAAAAACAACTATTTATAGACGGTTATCTTGATAATATTTACTTTTTAGTTTTTTCTTGTTAGGTTAGCTAACATAATTACGTGAGAAGAAATTTTGTAGAATATTGCCCTTTTTAAACTTATATGGCAACATTTTTAGTAAAATCCACGTTAACATTAGATATGCTAATTAATGTGTTTTGACCGCTTATTTAGGCTCATAAATCTATTTAATATTTCATTATTTTGACATATTTTTGCTCATATTATTAGGTATATAGTGTTTATATGCTAAAACCCAAAATTTAAGATGGTTGCTGCAAAATGAAGAAACTTTTGACAAAAATGATCGAAGGATGCAAAACTAGGAACTTATGTGCATAGCATGTGAGTAAATTAGTTCACAAATTTAGATACGAAGATCTTCAATGAGAAAATAATATATCGTTGAAAAGATAATTGAAATTAGAGTACAACCCAGAAAATGGATCACAATTCAGAATTCTGGATCAAAATTTATGGGCATTTGAAATTTGGAGACCAAAATTGTAAATCTCATATGATTGGGGCCCAAGCTGCCAATTCGAAAGTTTCGGACTGCGGTCGCAGTAATGCATCTTGCCGCCTCAGCTGAAGCAATTTTGCTCTTGTTTGCTGCAAGGCGACACGGCAATGCTGACGTGGTCGCATCTAGCTAGCACATTGTGGGACTTATGAAAATTTAATGGAAGCATGCCACGGACCATATAAACCCCTATTTTAGACAAAAATTAAATTTTGATGAGGGTAACTATGACAAAACGCTTTTATCTTTCAATAATATTGTGCAAAACGTCTCTATCTTCCATTTTTTTGGCACCTTTACCTTTACCTTCACCTTTTTATTACGAAAATCATCACTTTCATCAAATTTCTTGTATAAAATGATGAATATACCGCAAATTTAAATAAACAATAAAAAAGAAGAAAAAAAGTTTAAGAATAAATTGCAATCATACTTCCAAATTTTAAAAAGTGCAAGTGAATCCAAATAAATTATTAAAAGGATAATTAGCACATAACGTACTTATCTTTCATTATTATTGTGCAAAACATCCCTACCTCTCATTTGTCACATTTTCACCCTTATTTTATATTTTATTGCGAGAATCGTTATTTTTATCCAATTTCTCAATTAAAAGCTGTAAAATGACAAATATGCATTCTTCTTTAAATAAACGAAAAAAATAAAGAATAAATTGCAACTATATTTTCAAAATTTTCAAAAAAGTACAAATAAATAATTAAAAAAGAACTTTTATATATGATGATCTTGTAAATTAATGTACATTTATATGTTCTAAATTTAATTAGAGATGCACGGCGTTGACCTTTGTAACTTGATTAATTTCAATAATTTGTTGCTCATTTTAATTTGTTTATTTTTGTAGATATTTAAAATCAAAATTAATTATGAGCATTTTGAATTAGAGCTAGTTTTAATTAAACTAAATACATACATAATTAGCCATTGTGAATTCTACACTCTATTCAATATTATAATACTTGTTCAATTTCAATCGAAAATGAATTTGCACTTTTAAGGGAAAATTACCTAAAAATGTGGAGAGTTTAATAACCACGAAAACAGCAATGAGTTTAAAATGATTGCTGTAATACATCAAACAAATAATCACTCTATATTCTGAATGCACACTTTTAAACCCTAAACCCAAACTCCAAAACAAGATGATGATCTATGTATTTCTTTAAATTTAAAATGACTCCTCATGTGTAGACTGATTTATTTTTCGATTATATATATATATATATATATATATATATATATACACACACACACACGTAAGTGTTCTTAACTAAGATTTTAATGAATTTTAAAGACTGTAAATTCTAATAAATTTTGTGAATTTAAATAAATTCTTACAAATTATATAAGAATCTCATAAAAAATGGTGAAATTTCAAAAGATTTGCTTAAATGTATTTTTAAGCTTGAAACCTACTCAGAGCTTTTAAAATCCTTCCATTAATGAAATATTTATAAATTCACTAATTATTGAGAATACCTAAATTTTAAAGAATTTCATTACAATCTCAACTGGAGACACCTAAATTTTAATAAATTTCATGAAAATTTAATAAATTCTCAATTGAAGACACCTAAATTTAGAATGACTTTTAAAATTTATCACAATCTCAATTGAGGATACCCCTTTTAATTTATTTAAGAGAGGTCACATATATTTATTTAAATCTTTCTTTGAATTACAACATGGGTGTGAATAATTTCAAAATCAGCCCCCTGATTCAGTTCTTGTAAAACTTGGTTGTTGAGGCCGAACGTGAAATTCAAAGTGTGGAAAATTCAAACTGTTTTCCTTTTCAAAATTTTCTAGTGTTTCACTCCACATTAAAAACTAACAATAACTTGTGCGTTCAAGAATTGTAATGTGACAGCCTTGGCCAAGGCCCCTCTCATCAGTCATCACCATTTATGATAATTCTACACGAATCACCTATTTCATTGAATGAAATTGTTCTGCTCCACATAGAAAAGCCTTTTGAAAGTCAGTCAAAGTCAATTTACTTTAAATGCTCTTCTAGCCATTTAAAACACTTTTAAAAAGTTATCCATATATATTCAAAAATAACTTCTTAATTTCAGAAGTAGTTTTTAACTTTTCAAAAATCTTGTCAAACGAGCTTACATCTTGTCCTTTCCGGAAGAATAAGCTCAACATACGGAATTGGGCACAAGAAGTATAGAAGATAAAATTTCATTATATAAATTTATTTTCCTTTCAAAAACTTAAATTTTTGAATAAATTCATTCAACACACATTTATCAATTCTTATCCACCCGTTTAGATGCTGCGATGAGCCAAACTTGCCACCAAGGTGCGGCGACCCGTATCCCCACCGCCCTTTTGACATCCCTATCGATAAACTAGCACCTCAATGTCATGGAGACTTGCCCTACCGGCTATTTTGTCACCCCTATACCCTTAGTATTTAAACGATTTTAAGCTAGCAATTCAATATCCTGGAGACTTAAAAATTATTCTACTCAGAGCTGACATCTATTTTCTCTTCAGATTAATCTCATCACAATGAACATGAAGAAAAATAATACAAGATTATATAAAACATTATTCCGCCTCTCATTGTCTTCTACTATATCATGCAAAACTCCTAATACAGATGTACAAAGGCCACTATATCGTTATCAAAACTCATCATGAAGGTAAAAACTATACTTAAGAACCAGATAAGCATCAAAATTTTATTTTGCTTGATATTAGAGAATGAAAAGCACATTTAAAAACAAGGTTGAATCCAAATTATTATTGTAATCACATCCCATGAGATTGTAACATATAATAGGTATCTCAGAAAACTCTGAAACTATACACGTATATGATATACATAATTTTAGATGTAATATCTTTATCAAAGGCACGGGAATAAATATTATCAACACAATGTGATGGCAGCAACTGTTGTCACACCGTATAAACCAAGCGAAGGCCGAGTTTTGAAGGCTACAGCACGAAATGGTTCCCAAATGTATTCTCTCCGCTATACGTTACATAAAGGAAACCATCTTCATCCTTCTTCTCATCATATACGGCAGACATAATGGCACCTAGAAAGGGCAAACAGCCCGAAACAGGAAATTTGTCAACATACTCCAGTAGCTTCAAATGCTCCCAAGTAACACGACTCTACAGCTAATAAGATATGGCATTTAAAGCTCACCTGTTGGAGGCAGGACGTTGTCAACGAATATGAAAATTGCTTTCTCAGCGCTCAGTTTGATCCTTTTGCGAATCACATACACGAATTGTCCTACAGTCAAGTCAGCTGGGACGAGATACCTGTAATTTTCTCATTAAGGTAACTGAAAGTGGGTTTGGTAGGACATTTCCAAAGCCTAAAGGCACTTTCTGGAGGTCAAAAATTCTTTTGTTTAAAATATTGGAGGTTTGGCTAAACTCGAAAAGTAATTTTTCAAAGAGACAATAGTTTAAAAAGCAGTTTTGGAGAAGCCCAAATTTTGAGCTTCTAATTGAGCTTTTATGAGAAGTTGTAATTACATTTAATGAAGCGTTAATATTTAAAAAATTACTTTTGATATATCCCCCCAAAAAAATAAATAAATAAATAAAACTACTTCCAACCAATTAAATAAATATAAAGTTTATACAAAAGCACTTTTATAGTTATATGGCTAAATAGTAAATTTAGTGTATGTTTGAGCCACATTATTTTAAAAGAATGTATTTTAAAATAGTAGATTGATGGAGAAGTGTGGTTCAAAATGAGGAAAAGTTTTGATTTTGTATGTTATATTATTTTATTAAAGAATGTGTAGTTGAAATAATGTCAAATCACTGATTAAAAATGTATTTTTTTAGAAAAATGCAGCTCAAACAGGGCCTAATATTCACAATTCTTTCTGAATTCACAACCATACAGTTAACAACTTTACAATAAAAGCTCTACACCTAAAAGTTTTACTTACAACAGTTGTGCCAAATGGACCCTAAAATAAATTTACAACTCTTAATATGTTAAATGTATTACAGTGAGCTTGGGCATTGGAGAGATGGCCTAACGACACAACCCTATTTCTACGTTTCAGAAGTTGGAGGGACAATCCCTGTTTTGTAGCTTATGATTTCACAACTAAAGGACGGAAAATCCAAAATCAAACAACTGCAGACTCCTGATTCTCACGGGCATTATGCCCTCCAAGTTTATCAACTTTACCACAAAATGTGCTTATTTTTTCGCAAGATTTCGCAGTAACTACAGAAAATACTCCTGGGGACCTCTGACTTCCTTCTGTTCACTTAACCAACGCAACCCCCCAAGCCCACTCTCCACTACCACCACTAAAACAAAAACAAATAATAAATAAAAAAGAGAAAGGAACAAGAAAGAAAAGAAAAACCTGTTAGTTCAACCTGCAAAATCTAATGAGAGTAAACTGGATTGTGTGCTTGAGAATTAATGGAGTTTAAAGTCTACAAAATACTATTACGACTCTCAGGGAAAGTCCTAAAGGCTTGTATTCAATGAGGTGATTCCCTTTGATATAATGGGTTCGATAAAGACAAAAGACCCTGAGAATTTGACCACCCAAGCTGTAACATGTCAATTACCTGGATTTTCAAAGAAGTTTCCTAGAGTGACGATGCTCTACTCCAATTATTCATGAGAATTTGAAGTATGCACGCAAGATTACAGTGGCATACGGAACTCAGCATATCTATAGCAGCTAAGAGGACTTGAAAACTACATCAAATTCACTGGATAACTTGATCAACGCAACTTCGAATTATCCTTACCTAGACTATCTAACACAATAAGTTGAATATTCAGTACAATCACTTTTCCAACTGGAGTTCAAAATTCAGTACTGTCAGTTTACGTGCTTGAAACTTTGATCTTTACCATAAAAATCTGATAGCAATTCTATAATAATAATAAAAGGTTGTTCCCGCCCCGCCCCGCCCCGCCCCTCCCCTAGAGCTTTGTGAGGGAGATAAATCGCAGGATGTGCCCCAACAAACCAAGAAACAAGAGTTGCATGTACACTAACAATTCTATAATAATAGTTCCTACAAAGCACTACCTTCTAGTTTAATAAAATATTTATTTTATATATAAATATAGTCTTCCTTCTAAACTATATAATAATAATTTTTATTTGTTGATCATATTTAATCAGTAGTAAAGCATTGTCTCCACCATTAGAATCCAATAAAAATGCTATATCATAAGAATTATCATAGAAAATATTGAGGAAATTCAAGAATGTAGAGGCTCACTTTTTCTTGTCAATATTAGGAATATCACTTCTCTCTGCCTTCTCCACAATCACCTACATGTCAGATACACAACTGTCATTAGTTTATGTGAAAATCAGATAAGGTGCTGAACAAATCGTATGTTAATTGTTATCTATAGAAAGCCATGACCATGTTAGATGACATCCATAATCTACATAATACTTAACGATTGCCAAAGCATAGAACAGGTAACAACAAATCACAAAGATGAACTATTGCAGGGAAGAGGAACTGTTAAGAAGTATGTCCAAAATCTTCGAATTTATAGTACTGTCAGCTTAAATATTTTGAAGTGGTGACAGGACAATCAGAACAGTAGATCTTTCATATCCCCTATGTCTGTCATTCTAGATTTTCGAAAACCCAATTCCAGTATATCGTCATTATGGAGAGATTTTTATTTTCTTATCAATGACATCTGAAATTTGTATTCGCGAATTATCCCTTTTGTTGAATTCAAAAACATAATAAGAGATGCATTTGTTTAAATCTTATCTTTTTCTGTGGGTTAATGAAAAGTATTCTAAGAAAAAGGTTGGGAATTGTTGATTTTTTTTTTCTTTTCCTTATTTGTTGGTAGTCAACAAACTAAGTCTTATTCCGATGAATTTGGTGTCTACTGCATGAATCCTTTTTCTGCTAATTCATTCCATCCAATATTAAATCTACCAGAAAATCCAACAAAATAAAATTCATGCCATAATTATTTGCCTCTTCTTCCAACCCATTCCACTCTTATGAACACGAGGTCTTTTTTTTCGGTTTACACACGATATACCCTAACCATAACGACCTGACCTATGTGCCCATAAGCGTTACATAACATGTACTATTCGCTTTGAAAGAACTTGAGCCCATTTTACCCCTCAAGGGGATTCGAATTTAAGACATCTATCTTATGAAAGACTTAAGTTAAATTCTTGTACCAATTGGGTAAATTCGTGTCCAAGCCATTACATTACATGTACCGTCCGTTTTAGGAGTGCATCTGTTCTCTTACCCCTCACGGCTTCCTATTGTGTTCGCCATGATTCAAACCCAATACATCTTCCTAATGATAGACTTAAGTTGAATCTTTGTACGAATTGAGGGTAAGATGGACTTAAGTTCTTCCAAAACGGACAGTACATATGATATAAAGGTGGGCAAAATGCTCAAACCCATCACCAGAAAATGTACATTTTTTGTAACGATTCGAACATTGTGCTTAAACTGTTATATTATACGTATTGTGTGACTTGAGAGAACGGTTGTCCTCTTCTCATGGTCAATTGACACCAAAATTTAAATCTCTCATAAGGCAAACTTCTTGGGTACGACTCTTAGGGAATCGTGAGGAATAATGGGCAAATGCCCTCCTAATGAGAAAAATACATTTGATATAATGCATTGGGCACAAAGTCCAGATCGTTACACTTTCAGTTTACTTGTCCTTACCTTGGTGTCACCTCCAGTTGTTACCATGTATTCATTATTAAAATGAAATATCTGATGAGATGTTCCAAATTGGAAATGTGATAATACCAATAGGATGGAGGTAGTACTTAATAAGTTGGTGCGTAACCCAACGTAATCATGAAAGTTTGTATCTCAGAAGCACCGACATGCTTCCGGCGACAACATATCGGTGTCCGATACGCCTCCGACACGTCGCCGACGCGTGTCAGAGTTGTTTGCAGCGTGTCAAAGGCTTTGGTGAGCAGCTAACTTGAAGAGATGCAATAAGAAAAATAAATGGGAGGAAGAAATGCAACCTGCGAAAGTCTGGCTCGGAAGGAAAGACAAAAGAGAGAAGATAAGAGGAAGAGACTGCTAGACTGAAAAAATGCAACCGATGGAAGTGAGTGGTCTGGGGAAGGAAAGAAAACACAGAAGGGAAGAAAAAAGAAGGAAGAGAAGAGGAAGAGGAAGAGGAGACTGCTGGGCTAAAAAAAAATCCTGAAAATGAAAAACCAAATGAAAAGTCATCCATTTACCAACGCAAATTTTAAATTGTAGTCCCACTACCTATAAATTTTGTAATCAACATGTCGGTGACGTATCGTGTCGGAAATTTTTTAAAAAATCGCGTTCCACATTGCTGAAGTGAATAATGTTATTATCATAGTTCTTTTCACAAAGGAATCATAAGCCAAACTTAGAAAATACATAGCATTCACAGGAGAGCATTGCACTAGATAACAAGGATGGTACTCATCCCACCAAATAAGAAGCCAAAGAAAGAAATGATATCCTTCCAAAGAGTAAAAGAAAATTGCGAAAGGAAGCAATGTTACCACAATCCACAAATGGGGTAAAACAGTCACTTTAATTATAAGATTCTGTATATGTTGGTTGGGCTTAGTTCATCTCAAGCTTGTCCAAATCAGTGTGAAAGTTGAACATGCAACACTTGAAGATATTTTTAAGGTCGTAATTTGTGGATTAGGCATATCAATCAATGTGGCAGAGAACTCAAGCTCAGCTATGACAATAAAAACATTCCAATTCAGCTATAAAAATAAACGCAATCAACTTTTAACAATTTTCAAGCATTTTTTAAGACAACATTATAAATTTGAATACCTAGAACCCAGATAAAGAAGGTCGTTCCACTTCTAGGTTGCCATAGTTGTAAAGGCAAGGCAAAATGCATCTCTATGATGCACCAACATGATACATGTCGGATACGCTCATACATGATTTTTCAAAAAAAAGTGCTTATACGACACGTTGACTAAATTCTGTAAAGTTTTTATATAATAAATTTAGTTATATACTTGTTATTAATTCTTCTTGTTGAAATCTTGTAAATATGAGTAACTATTTGTTATTAACTAATAATTTTGAGTTAAAAATATATAATATTTTTAATAAAAAAGAAAAAATGTTTAGAGTAGAGTGTTCGAGAAGTGTCAGTATCGACACACTTCCGACACGGACACGCTACCATAGTTGAAGCGCTTGTGATATAGAGACGCATCCTATCCAATCTAATACCAAGCTTGAACATAATAAATAGATCGATGTGCTGTTAAATTTCCTTAAACATAATCTTGAAATCATAAAACGATTTCCATTGCAGACTCGTGATGCTTTGGTTGGTCAAAGAGCCATGTTTTGAAACTTTCCTTGAAACACAACAAGATGACAAATGAAACTAAATGATACGCCTATCATGAAAAACTTAGCATCTTTTCTCAGGATCTCAAAGAGAATAGTTATGGATAAAATGAAGTTCAGAAAATGAAACAAATGAGTTCAATATAAAGTTGGATACAACTGCAGCAGCACTAAACCCCTTTCACAAGCCATCATCCATCAACCCCAAAACAATGATAATACAGAATGAAAACCAAGTGCACTTTTCAGTGGAATGGTACAATAACTATCAATGAGCTGAATAGACTGATAAAAATATAATTGAAAGAAACGAAAATTATTTTGTCTTTCCTTTCTTCAAAAGGAGACCCTGTTTTGTGTATATATCTTTTGTTTTATCATATAAGTAAAGACAAATTGAAGTATAAAATACACATATGCAAGCAGGTCTTTGAAATTAGATGGAGAACCATCCAACAGGAAATGGTTGTTCGGTGGTTATTTATGCTATGCCCGTGCATTGATTGAGAACAATTCAGTTGAAAAAATACTACAACATAGGTGCCCTAATGAATTAGAATTTCACAATAATGCCATCCATACCCTTAACAAGACTTTGTAAGCCCGGTAGAGGAAAAAATGTACATACAAACAAATTCAAAATCATCCAAAATGTTTCATCAAATATGCAATTGAAATCAACAAGGGGTAAAACTCTGTTCTCACCGGAATCCTATCTGAATATTTCTCCCTAATTCTAGCAGCCTCAGCACGCCTCTTTTCTGAATACATACAATTAAATATATATTCAGAAAATATTTAAAATAATAATATAATTGACCAGCTAAAAGTACAAACCAAGATCATGTTCTTGCTTGAATAAACTTTTCGCCATTGGACTAGAATATCACTGCTCAAAAATAAAGTCAAATACTTCAAATTAATCTCACTGCAACTGAAACCAATAAAAAATCTTAGGAAAAAAGCAGTAAGTCTGAATTCTATAAAAAGAAATTCTTTAAGATGAGCAACAAATAAGATTTTCAAATACTTATTTGATAGGGATTTTGATAATTGATTTTTTGATCGTTAGAGAGAAAATGAGTCCTATTTATGAAAGAAAAATTAAAAAATGACCGTTAAAATAGTAAAATAACGTTAAAAAATTTGATTTTAATTGACTTTTAAACCCTCCTAAACAAGCTCTAAGGAGAAAAATAATAGGAAAACTGACACATTGTTAATTAGACCCTATTTGACCCAAGTTGTTTTAAAAAGATATATTCTTAAATGACATTATTTCATTTACACATTTTTCGATAAATTAATATCACATGCAAATACAAATAAATTTCTTATTTTTTAATCAAATATTTTTCATTAATATATTATTCAAAAATGTATTCTCATTAAATCAGGTGGCCCAAGAAAGGGCTTATAGTGTGAGTACTCAACACACTAAGCCCAAATTGACAAAAAAAAAAGAAAAAAAAATGAAAAAAAAACGAATTTTTGGAAAATATATAGTTAAAAAGTAGAAAAAAATTTGAATTTATATGAATAATATTTTATTGTGAAAATGTGGTTAAAAATGAGCGAAAAAAGTTTGAAAAGAGTGATTGTTAAACAATGACTAATATTAAGTCCAATTTAGTTTGACTAAAAATCATATTTTAATAAAAATTGATAAAAGGCATTATTAAAAAGTATATAAAAGATGTGAATCTTATAAAATATTTGGTTGAAAATTAATTTAAAAATGTATGACCAAACAAGAGCCAAGGGACAGATCGAAAGGCCAAGATTAGCTAAGAATCCATTTCATCAAGAGCTCTGAATTTAACTGAACTCGATTTCTAACTAGACTTGGGCCTTGTTTGATTTCTATTTTTTCAAAATACATTTTTCTCTTTCCTCTTTTCAATTACACATTTTTCAATAAAATAATATTACACACAAATTCAAATTTTTTTCTTATTTTTTAATCACACATTTTTCATCAAATCACTATTCAAAAATATATTTTTTTTCAACCCTACTAGAAGTACAAGGACTTGCCAAGACACACACACACAGAGTGGGAGCCTATCATAATTTTTTTATTAAGTGTGGAGCCCGCCTGCAACAGTGAGGGACCTGCCAGGCCCTGTGAAATTAATCCACATCTCAAGGATTAATTCTTTTTTTTTCTAACTTCTATTAAAAAGGGCAACAAGCCATCACTGTAGATTGAACAGTAAAGTAATCACATTCTACTGTATGGCCTTTTTTTTACTCGCATCCATTTTACTGGATCTCTATCCGACCATGCCTTTTCAACTTCACGTAACCATCCCTATTTCTCCATTTACACTTGCAACTTCACCATCCCCACTAGCATAAGCTTCCTCTCTCTTTCTTACGGTGCACTTATCTGGTTTGATATTGTTTGTAGAGCTCCAACATCTCTCATTCATGTCCTAAAAAAATAAAAAAACTTTGGAACACAAAAAGTAAATTGCTATGCGTTTGGTTCGACTTCTTCTTCAGGTCTTATGAGGTGCAATTTATATTTTTATGAATATTAAGCCTTTGTTTTTCCACCATTATTTGGTTTTTTGAATCTCCATATTACATAATGCAGATATAATGTGGAATTATAGGCTTTGAAATACTCTAAACGAGAAGGCGGTTGAAGAGGTATATCAATTTAAATATCTCTTTTTACTCCCCTTTCTTCTCGAAAAAAGCTTTGATGCTTCCAATTTTCCTTTTATGTAACATGAAATAGGTTGTAGATGGTTAGTAGTATTTTCTTCGTAATTTTTTAAGGAGTTGATTTAGGTTTTGTTCCAAGTTGTATTGAAAATGCATATTTTCCTTTCGAGCAGAAGCAAGGTGAGTGAGTTTATTGGAATTCTATTTATTTGTTTTGCAGAGAGGTTTTCGAGCATTGGTCAGTCTCTCTCTCTCTCTCTCTCTCTCTCTCTCTCTCTCTCTCTCTCTCTCTCTTTATTTTTTTTTTTTATGTATTTTTTTTAGATATGTGTATCTTTTTCAAGTTTCTCAATCGTCCATGCTAGCTTCCATCTTTCTATTGATTATACATTCTTGCTCATCTCTCTATGAAAAGTTAATTTTTTCTGTTAAAATAATTATCAGTTGTGTGTGAATGTGTTTCTTGTTTAGACTTAATAATTAATTATTTTCCTGAAAAGTATTGCATTAGCGAGTTGGTAAATTGATGTTAATTTGGTGAATTCATTTTTGTTCGAATACCGAGCATTTAGTCTTGCTAATTTTATGGTTGATTCACACTTATTGTTTCATAAATGTTATATAACTTTTTTTTATCATTGATACTTTCATCTACAAGTATTCTATTGTAGATGCTAGCTATATTTATAATAAAAAATAAAAAAATAAAATATCTCCTGACTATATGGAGAGTATGCGCGAAGACTCCGCACAAATTTTGTGCAAGGGCTCCGCACATTTTGTGCGGGACTTCGCACACTCCGCACTCCACACAAAATTTGTGGAGTCTCCGTACACTTGTAATGTGAGAAGACTCCGCACAATGTGCAACCTTTTTTTACTAGAAATCATACAATTTAATATTTATCTATAATAATTGAAATTTACCTTTTACAATTTTTTAGTTTGTTATTTTATTAGCTTAAAAAGATTCATTAAAGTGAAAGATTATTATTATGATATGATATAAAATTACAACATTTAATTTTCTTTATTTTTTATACAGTAATTCATAAATTTAATATAAAATAAATTTTATATTTTTTATGTTAATTTTGTGAATTCATTTTTGTTGGAATAACAAGTATTTAGTTTTATTAATTTTATGGTTGGTTCACATTTATTGTTTTATAAATGTGATATAACTTTTTATTATCTTCATTGGTACTTTCATCTGCAAGCAGATGGTAGCCTTAAAAAAAATAAAATAAAATAATCTCCCACTGTGCGGAGACTCCACACAAAGTCTTCCCATGTGCAGGGACTCCACATACTCTACACATTTTATGCGGGACTTCGCACACTCCGCAACCCCCTTTTTTTTTTTTTTTGCTAGAAATCATGCAATCGAATAATAGTCTGTAATAATTGAAATTTGCCTTCTACAATTTTTTTTGTTTGTTATTTTATTAGCTTAAAGAAATGCATTAAAGTGAAAGATTACTATTATGATATGATATAAAATTACAACATTCAACTTTCTTTATTTTTTATATAAAATAAATTTTATATTTTTATAAAAAAACTGTAAATCTAATAAAAAAAATATAATTAAAAGAATAAATTTAACTTCAATATAATACAAAAAAAAATCTCAAAAATAAAAATGAAAGAATCATTGCAATGCTAAACAACAAAAGAATCTAAACATAATAATAATAACGAGACAAAGAAAAAAAAAGTAAGTGAAAGAAAACTAACCCGTGAAAAAGAAAAAGAAAAAGAAAAAGAAATAATGTTGTCAAATAATCGCAACAAAAGGAAACTGTCAAAATCTAACAAAAAATATTGTTTAAATTAGCAAATTCGAAAAACAGTTGAAAAAGAGCTTGAATTTGAAATAAATGAATAGTGAAACGTATTATTGATTGCATTATATATACTTTACCACTGAAATGTAAAAACTTTTGCAGTGATTTTTGGCTTTTTCAAAAAACACTCACACGATTGTTACAATTATTTACCATTTCATCTAATTTTTCAGCAAATTAAGAGTATAGATTTATTGTTTGGTGTTGAAATTTTTTTAAATAATCATAATAAATCTTCTTGTTACACTAATAAAATCACAATAATTTTTTTTTTTACAAATAACATAAAAAAAGTAAAATCAATTTTATATCAACAGAAAAACACATTTAACCACTATTCTCAAAGGTAGTTTTATTTAATTTAAGTTTTACTTAGGTTGGAAGTTTGATGCTTATCTATTAATAAAAATATATCTACTTAACTAAATTATATTTGTTATGTTTAATAACTTCTAATTGAAAACTTGAATGTATGAAACCATTTGATGATTTTTCGATATTTGAAACTTTCAATTCTACATATTTAACGCTTTCATGTGTATATATAATCAGTTAATATAATAATATTATGATTAATGAAATTCTGTCTATAATTTTCTTTTATCCAATTTCATCAACTACGCGTTATTTTCTATACTATAGACATTGTCTCCCGGAAAAAGTCATTAAAGAAAGTAAGTTTATAGGATATAAATATTGTTGTTTTTAGAGTTTGAAATTACTCCTTCAAAAACAATTCGACAGAATCACCTGAATGTAAGAAATGATCAACAGGATCCAAAATGTAATTCGAGCCCACCAACTTCACGATATTTTCTTAAAACGAATTTGCTACCTTCAATGGTGCTAAAGGCGTCCAGCAATCATTTCCCATGATAGAACGAATTTTCTTCTCCTACAGAAGCAGCACAGCAATTTGCAGGAGTTCCAACGAACTCAACGAAGTGTATTTGACTTCAAAACAATATCAGAACGAGAGAAAGGAGGATAAGATTCAAAGCACAGAAAGTTTGCAATGAAAATGATGTAATTTTTTTAGCAGTGGGGCATGCTATTTATAGACTTGTTTGTGGTCATTCGAACACTCTCCAAAACAGTCGTCACTGTTCAGATAGCCTCCAAAACTCCAACAGACATGTTAGCTCAAAACTGCGCCTATTAAGTTGCTTAACAGTTGATGGTTTAACAGTCGACTGTTTGGTCAGTTAACAATCGACTGTTTAACAGACCATCCAAAAAAATTACCCGGAAAAGGCCATCCAAAAAAATAAATTTTATTAAGTACCCAAGAATTAGATTGTATACAATTTGGTCCAAAAATTCAAATAAATTTTTTTCAAAAAATTAATATAGTGCAAGGACGCACTCACACCAAACCGGATTCGGACACGTGCTCGTGCTGTGCCGAGCCGGCCGATCGGACGGACGATGGCGACGCGTGCATGTGGGCTTATGAC